AACGGGACTTGGTGAGAGTGTGATTTCCTTTTTAAGAGGTAAAATCGTGGTGTAGCACCCGCTGCTTATTCACCAATTAGATCTCTGACTAGCGCATTCACTTGATCCATTCCCTTATTCAACTCGATCGGGAGCTCATCGTGCCTCGTGGTTGAGCACCCTTTGGTATAGGATCATATTCAGCATGCAACCTCAGAACTGTCCCAACCCGAGCTCTCTGTGTTTGCTTTAAGATATGTCTGCACCGACAAAATGCCCGGCTAGGAAGCGAAGACTGCAAAATTGCTCAAACTGAAAAGTAAAAAATGTTAAATGTTTGGGTTCGATCAATTGATCACTCAGTGCCGGCACTATTGTTAGTTCGGGGTCGGTATTTTGGTCAAACAGAAGCATAAAATTTTCGTTCCTTGAAGGGAGAATGAAGACATCCGGGTCTTCGCACTCCCGCACGACGGCGAGCCACCGTCGCTTGGCCTTATCATCGCAGAGCCCAGGAAGAGTTAGTGAAGCGGAAATAATAGATTTACAGGTGCCATGGGAGGGGTAACAGAGGACTCCAACTTTGTGTTAGCACCGCCCAAGGTACATTTTTGGCAAAACAATAACCTGGTATTCGGGGAGGGTTAAGAGGGGAAGTGATGGGGTCGATTTGCGCTAGAGAGTGTAGGTTACAAAGGACTCTGAGTGCCCCTCCAGTTCCGCAGCACGTAAGAACAGCATATCTCTGCTACTGGTATGTACAAGCGGGCCGCTACCGGTAGTCGGAGAGGTCCAAAATTGCCCCTCGCTGCCACACCACTCTGATGCCCCGATGAGTGTCAATGGCATACGGTAGCTTGTTTCGCTACAGTATCCGGATGAACTACAGCGCTCTCTCTGTCGGCCAGACGGGGCCGACTCCAAGGTTTCGCCACGTCGAGTCAGTGTAAGACACATCCGTGGGAAACACAGGGGGGAAGAAGGGTCATCCAGAGGGGCGAGGACATCGCTGCAGCTGTATCCTCTCCGATCCTCAGTGCATAAAGCGTTGATCCCAGCCCGCAATACCAGAATGGACGAACCACCAACACCCACCCGATCATAGCCATTGATAGAACCATATGAGCCGTAGGCGGGCGGGGTGAGAGCTAGTGGGAAGAGGGCTACGGCGATATATAGGGGCAGTTTAAATTGAAAAGTGGGAGCTGAGCTTGGACAAATTCTGTACTCTAGGAGGACTCATAGGAAGGCAGTAACAAATTACCCCCCCCCCCCCCCAGCAGGTACTCTTTTTGTCTACTTTGCTCTTGTGAAATCGGGGGTAGAATAGAGGAATCGAAAAGGGCCGTAGTGATCTGAATATGAAGCCTCCAACGATCCGCACAAGCTACAGCTAACTAACCTCGCGGTGGGGAAGACCATGTTATTCTGAAAAGGTGGTAAGAGCGGCTCCAGGATTTCAGAGCTTATACCAGATGAATCCTCGTTGGCAGGAAGGAAGAGATAGGGCTGGAGCACAGCGCCACAAACCACAAGTATTATACGATACTACCTACCCGTGCCGGAACCCTTTCACAGACTCTTATGTATGATATCATAATAATTATTATGATTTTTATTTTGCTATCATACTTGGTTTGGAAGAAGACCTAATATGTGGAGACTGACAGGGGCCCGTGAAAAGGACTTTTGTTGACTATTAGGGCTAGAGCTGAAGAGGGGTTTGACTTGACGAGAAAAGTGTGATGGGTTGCTTGCCTTGGCATGTTTGTCTTTCGGGAGCGGATACAAGGTACTTTCACCTTCCTCCCTTCTGTCTGTACGCAACGTCTTCTTCCTTAATTGAACACAAAGCATTGCCTTTCGGCATTCCCCCTTTTGCCTTTGTTCGACGCCTCCCTCCAACCATCAATCCCTACCCCAGCTGTATTACTTGCTGCCCCCGTTCTCTTACGGGTCCTACGGAGTACTCAATCACCACATCCCATCATGAGAAGCGCACCATGGCCTCAACAAAGGACGGCCAGGCACAAGCTATAAAAGCAATCTCCCTTCTACCGTATCAAGAAGGGGGCACCACAGTTGCCATGACCTTTCACCCTCTTGACACTGGACAGGAAAATGGGAAGTTTTATGCACGATGTGGCGTCCCCCGTGGACGAGGCGAGGGAGGTAGCGTACTTGTATCATACCATGTGCAAGTTAAGCTTAACGCGGGAGCAAGGAGGCCGCTTCCGCCATCCAGCCGGTCTGGAGGCGTGCTCGGATGTCCCGGCTATTGTGCAGGGCTGGTGGTGTCCCGCCATAGCGATAGTGAGCCGAGGTTGTGGGAGTTATGACGGAGCAAGGTTTGTAAATATCGTGCTGCTGCGCTGTGCCCAAATTGCCGTTCTGGAGCCGGCTAGATTACCGACAAAAGTGGGGGGATTGTGCTTTTAGAGAGAGGAAACACCCCACTGGATAGAGAAGGTCGGGAGTAACGCAATACCAATGAAACAGCAGTGCTCGGTCGGATATTCTAGATACCTGTATTGTACGAGTACAGGCGGTGCAAAAAACAGCTGGATTCAAGCCCCCACCTTTTCCTGATCCAGTTGCTTCAAGCTTCGTCCCGCCTCATCTCGTCGACTCTTGGCTTCCGAGAAATTCCTGAAGACAAACAGGAGTTTCAGATTTGGCATTACTATTACCGGTATGGCGCTCGTTGATTGGATTGGCACTAGGAACAGACTGTACACAGGATCTCTTTAAGCTATCGACCATCACAAAGCCCTAGGTTGGGGAGTATTACACCACAAGGTACGGATGGAATGTCATGGGCACGAGAGGGCTGATGAAGGGGATCAAGGTCCGAACTATGTCCCCCGTCCAAAGTGAATCATGATATCATAACTACTTGTGTGAGACATACGAGTGCTCGAGCGGCTTACTCGTACGGTACAGTACTCGTACAGCAAGGCGTGGGTGCGGTAACACTAATCGATCAACAATGAGAAGCGGAGAAAAAAAGAAAAAAGGAAAAAAAAGTTAAACAAGACCGCGCCCAGCAAATGGCCAGCAAGAGAAGCCGATAGATAAAGCTCCGGAGAGAAATCTGTTCCATAGCGATGGAAATACACTTTCCCGTCACTTCCTCCCCCCCCTTTTTTTCCTCCCTTTTTTGCTTCCTAATTATGATAACTTTTCCCTCCATTATAATTTGGCGTTATGGTTCCAATGATGTGAGACATTGGCTGATATCATACTGTATCTACAAGAGTCGAGAGTCTGCGGATAAATGGCCAACCCCACCGCGCTCGTTGTAACTTTGAGCCCTATATCATACTTGCACAGTACCGGTACACAACTTTGTGTGCTGCCCAGACACCCAGACTCTGAAGCATCCACTGACTTTTTTGAATCCCAGGAGTATATACAATAGATGGCGCAAACATGATTAGTGAATTACGGCGAGTGATTCGCAATGAGCACCTAGATGAATTGTTAACAGCTCCGTGCTGGCCTGCCATGTCACCCTGGAGAGAGAGATAGGGAGCCGAGCGCTTCCTTCCTCACAGTACGATACCGCATCACTCACAAGCCCGCCAACCCGCCAGCGGGGATATCTGCTACGACTCGAGTGACACAACATGATCATCTGGTTCTACAACGCAGTACTAGTCCAGTATAGTATTCTACATCCTATATAATCCACACCATACTCGAGTACAGAAGCGAGTCGCAGATCCTTCCCTCCTTTCAGCTCGCACCGCGCACTCTAGGAATTGCCGGAATGTCTATCTAGGCGATGATGTAAATCGTATGCACGCACCCGTAACTTGCCACTAGACTATACTCGAGCACAGTCCATACACGGTCTAGATGAAATTGATTGATTCCTCCCTTCTCTTCTCTTCTCTCCTCGGGTGCGGTAACCAGAATCGCGAGCATGCCCGTGATGCCGCACCGCACATAGACCACAGCACAGCACAGTACGTAACGAGTAACCTCCCCACTTTCGGGTGGTGGTGGTGGTGGTGGTGGTGGTGGATTACGGCTCATCAGAGCAAATCAGCCATCGAATGGATTACTGTACCGGTAAATTACACTTCTTCATCACAGGTCAATTAGGCATTCAGCCCCGGGGGGCTTTCGAAAAAAATTGGTTTTCCGAGGGGTTACGAGTATGATACTGTGAGTCGCTAAGTTAGTCTCTCTCGGCCAGAATCCGGACCAGTTACTGTATCGTATCGTACAGTATTGTAACCGGTATGGGAGTGTGAAAAAGGGGGCGGCACACGTTCAATGCGCCCTTCTTTTTCGACTCCACTCCACTCGAAAGAACTTCCATATACGTTCTTGCGATCCTGCGCCGGGGCTGAATGCCTCTGAGAGTGCTTGTACTGTGCGAGTACAGTACTGTATCATACCAGTTTTGTCCTGTCCTGTCCTGTCCTAGCGCTGGCAATTCTGGTATTGTACTCGAGTACAGTACAGTACCGGCAGTCAAGTGCCAGACAGCAGACAAAAAAGGATCACGCCAAATTATCAGAGAGCCTCCCATATTAAATTCCGACTCAAGAGTTCGCGCACAGAGCTTCTCCTAGCCGGATACGGTGCTGTGCTTGTGCTTTTCCGCAAACCTAGACTTCCTTCCTTCTATTTCGTGCATGAGAATACCGGTACTGTACGAGTCCAATATCACTTGTGGCTTCGGCATGGGTGTGTACCCTAGTACTTTTACTTGTATATCCTTGCACGTGTAAGCGATTTGGGAAGATCTACCCTAGGTATGGGTACCGTTTGGGGAAGAAAAGAAAAAAAGTTTCATTGCAGCTGAGATGTGGAGCTCTCCTGCTGTTTCTGGTGCCTCGTGCGGGAACGTTGTTGGCTTGCGGGCTTGGTGGCTTGTTGGTGGAAGGGGGGGGGAGGTGGAATTGAAGGGAGTTATTTGGTTGGAGAATGGGTGTCAGTGAGTGAGCAAGATGCGATGAGTATGAGTACGGTATGGTACCGGTACGACACAGCAAGAGACGATGGGATTCTCTCGTTCGCATGCAATGCCTGGTGGAGTACAATGATAGGTTAACCGCTGCGCTGCACTAGTTCATAATGCAGCGCACTCTGCGATACAGCCTACTCATATACTCCCTTAGGGAGTAGTTATAATAACTACAACTCTCCCAGCACATCCCTTCCTTTTCCTTCCCGGTCTCCCTCCTCCACACCACCGTCTAATTCGCACTACTACCCTCCGTAGCTGAGTTTCCGATTACTCCCACCTTCACTAGCAATATACGAGTTGATCGCCACAATAAGGGTATCGCGATTCGGAAGGTTTCTTGTGACTGATTCACTTTCTCGTCTCTTAACCTCATTTGCACTGCTTGCATTTGCCGGTGCTCCACGGCCTCAGTAACCTACCAACTTCCGAATCACCGGTCCACTAAGCCAATCGTTGTTATATTAAGGCACCCACCTTCCCACCTTTCACGATGTCCACCACATTCAGTGATTCGAGACCAAAAATGAAGAGAATCATTATTTGTTGTGACGGTCCGTCTCCACCTCTCCCCTCTGAGTGAATTGAATCGGTGTCGTTGATGAAGATGGGATATGATAGGTACCTGGCAGGATTCTGACGGAGGGAAACTCGACGTCCCGACAAATGTTACGAGGGTTGCTCGTGCCTTGAAGAGTTATACCGATGATGGTGTTTCCCAAGTGGTTTATTACCAGAGCGGAGTTGGCGCTGGAGGGGGAGGGACGTTTAATAGACTTGTTGGTGGTTAGTTCCCCCTCCCCCCTCAAATAATATTCCAAACTCAACCAACGACTTGGCGAATTGGTCAATAGGCGGCACTGGGCTCGGCCTCTCTGAGAACGTGCGCGAAGCCTATGGCTTTTTAGCGCACAACTACCACCCAGGAGATACCATCCATCTCTTTGGTTTCTCCCGCGGGGCATACACTGCCCGCTCAATCTGTGGCCTTGTCTGCCGCATTGGCATCCTAACGAAGAAGGGCATGGACAGCTTCTACCAAGTCTATAAAGACTATCAGGCCAAGAAGTTCCGTGACCCAAGGTATGTCCCCCCCCCCTATCAATTCTCCGAACCTCACACACACTAACCTGAGCGGAAACAGTGCGGTAGCCGAACTCCAAGCCCGCGAGGGTGGCAGCCTCATCGTCCCGAACGTCAGAGTCAAGACAGTCTGCTGCTGGGACACGGTCGGATCATTGGGGATCCCGTCGGTTGGCGTTCCCATAATCGGGGACTGGATCGCGGGGAACGAACAGGAAAAGTACGGCTTCCATGACACGGATCTATCGCCGCGCGTCGATAACGCCTTCCATGCACTCGCCCTCGACGAGCACCGCGGGCCCTTCACTCCCACTCTGTGGAAGAAGACGGAGGACACTCCAGTCAACCTTAAGCAATGCTGGTTCCCCGGCGTCCACACAAACATCGGTGGTGGATACGATGATCAGGAGATTGCGGATATGACGCTCGCATGGATCATCCAACAGCTCTTTCCGTTCCTGCAGTTCGATGACGACTATCTCAAGAGTATTATTCATAACAACGATGACCACTCCAGCGGCGAGTGGGCCGCCGGCAAGATTTATGATTCCGCGACCGGGATCTTGAGGGTCGTTGGCGGAAATGTTAGGACTCCTGGGGGGTATGGAGACGGTACGGAGGAGACCATCCACAAGAGCGTGAGGGTTCGCATGAAGGTTGTCGCGGGCTGGTCCAGTAAGGCTCTGAAGGGGTGGACCTGGAATGAGGATGGCGGGTATTGGGAGAAGGGTAGTAAGAGGATGGCCGAGGACGATTTGGGACCCCTAGAGAAGAGTCTAGCCGGAAAGGCGGTCGTCAAGGACATGCTTGGGGAGGATATGTCGTGATTTTTTTTCCCCCCTTCATCTAAATATGTTTCACCTACCTCTGTTGTATTTCCTTCTCCCCCCCTTTCTCCCTCTCTTGCTCGCTTATAGTAGTTATCTGTCTGGCCAGCTGGTTTTTAATTCCGGAATCGTTTATCATGAGGATGGTATGGAGTAGCGATCATTTATTTAAATTATTTACTTATCCATTTATTTATAAAGTACACCGCTCCCTCCCTCCCACACGCAGGAGAGTGAGGTCACGAAAAATATAATAAAACGTCCATGCGCCACGATTCCACCGTGATACTCTACTATGAATTTTATTTTACTAGCACACTACGGTATAATAATAATATTTATGGTACTTGTACATTCAGCCTCATGGTGTTACAGCACTGCTTATATAATTTACGATGCTTAATTTTTATCTATGATACCGGTACAAGTACTATATGACACTACCGTAGTCACAGTTCTCCACCATTATGATACTATGATATCTACCTATAACACACGAACCCCCCCAAGAGGAAAAAATAAAGAAGAAAAAAACAGCAGACATGATTTTCGACCGAATGATAGAGCGATAGTGGAAAATACTGTTATCATCAACACGGTATTGAAAAATAATAAGAGGAAGAAATAAATAAAAGGTATGGTACCGGTACAGTATTGTGCCAAGACCTAGAATACCGCTATCATACCACTACCGCGCCGACCAGCCAGCCCAGCTGTAACATTCTGTTCTTCGAAATTCCTTCCCCATTCTGATATGGAACGTGCTGTGCGGTCCGGTCCGGTCCGGGCGTGGGCCCCGTCGGAGGGCGGAAGTGGTATGATATATTATTATAAAAAATAAAATAAAATAAGAAATGGGAGATCTCCCAATGGCGGCGGGTGGGGTTGCTTTCAGTCTCGAGTGCTGGGTTCAGAGATAGGTTGCGAGTGCGGTAATATCGTCCCTTCACTCACTCATGTGCTCGTTTTATCGAGTGACGCCTCATGCAGAAAGAAACTACCTGGCGCTCTATACTTTTGAACGGAGGTCCATATGGAGATAAGGGAGGAAAAATAAAAAATCATAATACAAAGTTCGAGGATTAGTCAGGGAGAGCCTCAGTCTACCTTTTCCCACCCCTATACATCTTAACCGGATCCCTCCCGGTCCCCGCCGCCCCCCTCCCAGTCTTCTTCTGCCTCGCCTTCCGAATCCTATTCTCCCTAACCTTCCTAAACCCCACGTGCCCCACCGTCCCCACCCTTGGCTTAAGCACCCCGCTCTTCCCCCCCTTCGGCAGCAAATACTCCGGTACATGCCGCAAGTGCGCCTGCACCCTGACCCGACCGCTCTCCCCATCGTGCCTAAGCGCCAGCAAGTCCCCCGGGTTCTCCTCAAAGTGCCTCTTCAGCCGCTCGCTCTTCACCAGTTCCACCCGCAATTCCCGTATCCGTGCCTCCCTCACGGCAACCTTCGTCACGGCCCTCAACGCGTCGTCCATTCTGTACCGGAAGGCGTCGACTTGCGCCATGTCGAAGACGTATGGTTTTATCTCCCTGCTGAGCTTGGCTTGGGATTTGCGGATTCGTTGGAGGGTTTTTTCGTCGTTTGCGCAGGTGGGGTGGGTCGTTGGTTTGTGCTTACCAAAGAGGTGGGTAGGGATTACGAAGGAGAGGGAAATTCCGTTCTTGTGGGCACGTGCGGTACGGCCAATGCGGTGGGTGTATGATTTTGAGGTCGTGGGGAGGTCAAAGTTCAGCACGCAGGCAAGGTTTTTGAAGTCGAGGCCGCGGGATACGCCATATTCCTTGTCTTTGCGGCTCCTAGCCCTTTTCTTCCTTTTAGGCTTAGGGGTTGGTTCCGGTTCCGCCTGCTCCCCGGGGGTTGTAGGCTCAAGTGCCGGAACGTTGTTGCTGTCATCACCTTCTTCATCTCCCAGGACTTCGTTCTCATCGCTAGCTATGATTATCTCGTAGACGTTTTTGTTGAATTCTTCCACAATGTGCAGGCGGGAATTCACCGGCAGTTCGGAGTTCAGCACGCAGCTGCGGATTCCAAATTGCTCCAAAAAGAGCTTGACTCTGTAGCCCCGGTCTATGTCTCCGACGAAGATTATGGTTTTGCCTTTTATGAGTTTTAGTTTGAAGATTACGTACAGCAAGAGGAATTTCTCGTCTTCGCTGCATCTGTTCCATTGTCAGTTCCCCACCCGTCCGCCCAGTCGAAGAGGGGAGGGAGTGAAGGGGACCTACTTGACACAGTATTGCGTGACTCCCTCGCCTTCCGCATCCACACCTTCTTCCAGTCGTAGGACCGCGGGGTTCCGGCAAAAGAGGGACTTTAGGGTTTCAACTTCGGTGGTGAGTGTTGCACTCATGAGGAAGGTTTGCAGACCCTTTGGAAGCGTTTTTGAGACGCCTTGGAGATCATCTTCGTACCCGTACGACAGTACCAGGTCTGCTTCGTCGATTACGAGGTGGGTGAGTTGTGAAGTGAGGGATTTGGAGATATTGATGTGGACGAGGGCTCTGGAGGGAGTCGATACAATTATGTCTTGCTTTTCAGAGAGGAGGGATCTAGAGATTGTTAGCCCATAGAGCGTGAGGACGGGAGAGGAGGGGGGGGGGAGACCAACTGCTGTACTTTCTCGGATATATTCTGCGCAAGGTTGATCGAACGAATGTGCTTTCCACAGTAAGCTGCTAAAGATTCGATAACCCTGTGGACCTGCTGTGCCAATTCTCTTGTCGGGACAAGTACCAATGCGCTTGCGAATTTTTCTTCGGAGGTCTAGCGACCAATCAATCAGCTCGCCCTCCCACCAACCGAGTAGAATGGGGTAAAACAAACCTCCTTCCTCCTCAAGATCGCCTGCATAACTGGTAACAAGTACGCCGCCGTCTTCCCGGATCCTGTCTTCGCCCTGGCTACACCCCTCGCCCCCAATCAGCATTCATCCCCATCAATTCATCCACCAGCGCAAGCAACATACCAAGGATATCCTTCCCCTCCAATGCCAACGGAATAGCCTTCGCCTGGACCAACGTCGGGTGCGAGAAATCCTGCTTGGCTATGCCCTGGAGTAAGCGCGGGTCAAGGCCGAATGCTGTAAAACTGGCATCGGCATCTTCTTCGCCTCCGCGTTCCCGTTTTGTCATCGTTAATGCTTGTGTAGCTATGGACAGTGTGGCAGTCGGGTGTTGATGCGAGTGGGTTGGGATTACCAGAGGTCTAATCGAAGTTTTCCTTTTGGGTGGACGGGGGAGTGATGGCTTGGCACAGGATGGATGGTCATGTGAACTTCATAGGGTGTCACTCGGTTCGAGTCTCCGAGAAGTTCTCGGCCCGGCGGGGTGAAGGGTGCGGGGGCGTTGGGAACTGGCTAGCGATCGTATGATATACTGTTGTATGATAGTGTTCAACGGGCACGATAATAGGTTCCTAAAGCTTGAACTCCCCCACAGAGGCGGCTCACCCCAATTCTGCAACCACCATTATCGAGTGTTTGGCTCAGGTAGTTTTTTTATAACAATATCATACAAACTCCTCCTCTATTTTCATAACAATTTCCCCACCCACCTACCCACCCACTCGTGTGCCTCACCCAATATTTGGCACCCCATTTGTCCTAGCGGGTGGCACAGCTTGTTCTCTGCTAAAAGGGTATGAGTGCCGCAGTCTACTGGCAGATTGGAGCGAGTATGGAGGTCTAACTCTTCAGAGGAAAACAGTATATGCCTCAATCCAGATACCTATAAGCCTCGGTAGATTTGCGGCAACCCTATTCGCCAACTGTTCCCCCAATAGTTTGGCCTCTGCACCCATTCCACACTACCAATAAACAATACCCCTTCGGCAGAGAAGGACCGGTTGCCACGAGCTGGGACAAATGGGGTGCCAAATCTTGTCTGAGACGCGCGGGTACTAAGAGCCCTTACCCAGCAACTTGCCATTATGCCATACCATAGAACCCTTTGCAAACCTCCCGGTCGATACCATGCCACGATGAGGCGTGACAGGAGAACCACGGTGACGGGATAACTGTGCATTGCTCGTGTGATATGTATCATAACCGCCTTCTGTTGCATAATAGCGCTCAGGAATTTCCCTCAAACAATTAACCAGGTCCGAACCCCTTCCTCCCAATCCAACCTAAACCATATCCAAATGACCGAACTCCACAATTGCGCAAACCCATCGAGATTACATAAATCCACCAATATACTGAAAAGAGAACAGGAACAGTTTATCCCACCCATTCTAGCTACCCAACCCAAGTATAGGCAACACCGTCACCCAGACACATCACCTCCATGTCGGATCCTGTACAATAGTACAAGGCCCTTTTCGCTCTCAATGACCTCGAAGACCTCTGCCACGCCACGGAAAGACGGGCCCAACGTCTTCTGCCATTTTGGCTCCGGTTGGGTGTCGAGTTCGATTCGGTTAGCCGTCCGGTGAGTGCAGCATGTTGTAGTGTCGGTAGAGTCCTAATGTCGGGTCCAGAGGGTTAGTCGTCCATAGATGGCTCTAGGCGAGACGTTCCAATCCTCCCAGGCAGCAGATCCAGGCTCGACACGGTAGATCCCAAACGAGGCAGTAACAGGGGCGTCCAAATGGTCGTTTAGCAGATAATCTAGGGTCCTTCAGGCAAGTTCCAAAGGTACGGGAATGCTAGGTCGAGTTCGATGCGCGACTGTGTTACAATCCGCTTGCCCGCACTCCCAAACCAAAACTCTCATATATCCAATCCGGGTCCGCAGGGGGGGGGAAGTAAAGGCACAGTAGGGGAGCAAAAATACGGCCAGTCCAGCTCAGGCCAAGAACAGAGGTTCCGGAAAAGGGAAGTGGCAAAACAGGTAAAGCAACATGGCGGCAGTCCTCGACGGTCTTGGTCTCCATTACGGGGGTTAGATGGGCTTGGTGTAAGGGTCGAACTCGAGATTCTCCTCGCAGAGATTCGCTTTTGGTCCAGTTGCATAATTCAAAAATTGTGATATCGTACTAAGACGAGGGTCGGAGGGGCCGGACCAGTTCCGGAATCCAGCGCAGCACAGCAGATGGCCAATAGCATCAGGGGGTCAAGGCCACAATAGCAAGATTAGAGAACAGGGTCAGCGAGTTTTTTTTTTCTTTAGTTTTTCTTTAGTTTTTTTTCTTCCGCGACAAGGAATGATGATAGCACGCAACGCAAGTTTCGATCCAACATAGGAGGACAAGCAACCGGATGGCAGGACAAACGGGCGGAGGACAATCTTCCCGGAATTCGCAGAACAAACATCGAAAAGGTCCAGAAACGTGAAAACAAGCGGCCAGGTTAAGCCCTTCTCGTATCCAGAAAACACAAGCACGGCAAGGAAAGTAGCTCCGCACGACCTCTCTCCCGAGCACCGATTCACGCCATGTCCTTCTCTTCCTCCCCTTCATATCTCATCCTTCCTCCACGGGGTGCCGTGGTTAACTTACGTGTACAAAAAAGGGGGAGAATGGGAGCGAAAAACGTACCACGTCATTATATATCGACCAAAACTGCACTTACAGGAAAGAGTCAAGTGAGGTGACTGCCCTGCTGCCGCGCTGCTCCGCCCTTTTTAATATTTCAGACTCGCACCTATCCCGCTTCTGCCTTATCCACTCTGCTCGGAAGCGGAATCCCCACCCGTCCACTGCCGGGTAACAATCGGAGCTGAGGAGGCGGGGAGGGGCAACGATGTGGGAAAAAAAAAAAGAGGAAAGGAAAAAGAAAAAAAATGATGGAATTAATTTTCTGGCCCGCCCGCGCTAATGTAGACTGCTCCTTCTGACTGATTGATAGACTATCTACGAGTATCAATGGGTGATAGGGCATTCCTGCGATTGCTGAATCCCGCATATACCCGGAGAGTCATCCAAACATGTCTTTCATCGATCGATCGCAAAGTGGGGAACCGCAAATACCGGTGGTCCGAATAGGCAATACGAGCCTCACGCTGGGAAACCAGCTGTGCTCGCACTGTGCAGCACGGCAGCATTACTACTCGAGTACCGTACGGTATTGAGGCTGTCAACAAGTTTATCGGACGACAAAAGCTGAGAGGAACGGCAGGAGATGAGCCTCCCACCGCACAGCACAGCACTGTTACAGTACAAGTACCAGCAATCCCCACCCCCAACCATCCGGCAGTGCACCGTCCTGCTACTGGTGCGGCACCAGTGAAAGCAGCTTCCGGCGAGACTGGCCTACCACACCGTGTACCGGTACGGTAACAAGCAAGTCTGTCGGTCCGAAGCGGGAAAATCCTGAGCCCTTCCTGGTGTCACCGTAGCACTTGTTACCCTGTCGGTGCAAGTACTCGTATTATATATTATGATAGACTAAGTACAGTACGGTACCGGTACTGTATGTATTTCTGAAAATCCGACCGATTTACCGGTACCGGTCGATCCACCGACCGACCCGCCCCAGACTGCTTCGCTGTCTGCGCAAGTGAGATTCTGAATCACAAGATTGAAAATACAGAAACGAGATCTGACCGCCCTACCATACCGACACCATCCTGTGCTATCAACTCCAACTTACTGGACTGGGTTTTTTAAAACTGTAGTACTGTAGGTACAGTTTCGAGAGATTAACCGCATCGTTTCCCTGTGCCGTAGATCATCATCTCATCTTTTTCTTTCTTTTTCTTTTTTCCCCGATTCCCCTCCAAGTTTACTACGAATGTATTGGTAGGATGATGGTGATATCTGCGAGTAGTCGTTGGGGGCATTCTGCAGGGACATCGAGGGGGGGGGGGGATATTGATCGTGGGAATTACCCAACGATACCTGTCTGATTGATCGGACATGATTCTGGAAAGGGGGGCGACGGTGGGTGGATATCTACTGTGCCAGTTAGAATACCTATAACCGGGTTGTTTCGAGAAACGTTTGGGTTTTGATTAAAGCCGTGAGACGCGGAGGGAAGGGGAAAGGCGGAGAGAGGGGGGAGAGGGGAGGAGAGGGGGAGAGAGAAGGAGAGGGAGGGAGAGGGAGAGGGAGGGAGAGGGAGGGAGAGAGCTGATACACACCATACACACCGTGCCGGCTGTGCGCACTCTTCACACCATGCACACGACAGCTATGATGCCTCTTTTTTGCATTGCGCATTCTATCATACCTAAGTTGGCTGCGGTACCCATTCCGCGATAGGAATCCTTAGGGGATGGGCGGGTAAACACCCTCGCAGATTCGATTCTTTTTCCCTGATTGGCTGCTGGTCCTGGTCGAGAGGGTCTAACGGTTTACTGTAAGATTTCGATTTATCTGCTCGAAATCCGTTTTTGGGACGTTTACTCTCACACTCTATACTTTCTCTTGCTATAACCTACCTATGACGCCTACAACTGTGACGGCAAGTACGATTGCAGTTAAAGAAAGAATATATTTGCGAAATCCATCCCCTCCCCCCGCTGATATCTTGTGTGCGGGGCAATAATATGTCCCTGTCCCACACTGCCCGGTTTTGTGGTTATGGCATACACCGCACTCTGCAAGTCCTCGAGCACAGTAGAGTACCGTATCAGTATCACGCTTTAGCGCAAAAAACCCCGAGTTTAGGAAATGGGGATGTGATGTATGGGAATTGGGGGCTTTTTTATTTTATTTTTCTCTTGTTTTCCTCATTCTCCCCTTCCTTCCCTTATCGTGCGAGTGGAGTGTGCCTGGATTGGGTGAGAGGTATGATGTCGTTGGGAACAATCAATTTCTCCTCCTGCCGGTATCCTCCACTTTCTCCCCCGATATCATACCATGGAATCATTTCACGACACCGGTATCTGTATGATGAAATCGTACAGTAGGGAGCCATGGAGACTTTTGCGATTTCTGAGAAAAACCTTGCCCGCCCTACTGTGCGATACAATGAAACCGTATCATGCCACCCGTACGATATCTCGAAACCCCGAGCGAGCAGGCAAGGTAAGCATGATAACTCACAAGGCTACAGCGCCGTGGCAACCGATGTGATAACCAACGCACTCTCACACATCACATCATAGTCCTGATATCACGTGTGGAAACGGCCTGCCTCCATCCACACAGCCCTTTCCTCCCTTCCTTCCTTCCTTCCTGCTTCTTCCCTGCGGTAGTCTACGGTAAGGGTACAGTGCCTTCCTTCTTTCCCATCCCCCTTTCCTCCTTTCTCCCCATCCATCTAAAACCAGAGCCCTACTAACCAACCAAACCCGACCAACCACAATGAAGCCCTGCATCACCCCCCTCTCTCCTCCCCCTGCCCCCCCCCCCCCCCACCCACCCCCCACTCTCCCACCAAACGTAAAATCGACATTCACGCTACAAATCGGTCTTTCTTGACATGCCTTGGTTGTCTGTTGGTAGGCAGGTAGGTAGGCATTTTTGCAAACGCTGCGCAGCGCAAGTGAGTTAGGTAGGTAGTTAGGTAGTTGGGCAGGGAAAGGGTAAACAGCACCAAGATCGGGGATCGGTAGGATGTTGGTATGGAAGATGAATGGATGAAGGAGAGATAAGGACTCTCCTGCTACCTACCTACCGCTCCTAAGGTTGGTTAACAGGTTTTATTTATTTATTTATTTACCTACTTACATACTCACCTATGGTGCGGTAGCTGAGCTTGGGTGTCTTATATTCAGGCGTTTTCTCGACTCTTTTTATTTTTTATTTTTATCTTTATTGTTTTTTATAATACTATTCATTTGTCTGTTCGGGAGACGGGTTGAACTTGAACAAGCGAACAAACGAACAAACGAACAAACGAGCGAGCGAGCGAACGAACGAACGAACGAACGAAAGAAAGAAAGAAAGAGGGGGAGAGAGAAAGTGAAGTGGTTTGTGGCGATTTCTGTTGCAAAGAAGACTGCGATACACGATATACACTGTTCTCCACGAACGAACGAGCGAACGACCAACGGACCGGTGAGAGAGAAAGGGCGGAGAAGCCTCAGCTACACGAGTGTGCCATCTGAGGGTTTATCATCATCATTACTATTACTATTCGTGCTGCTTTGCTCTCCCGAGACTGATTGAGATTGAGCCTTGCGGGAGAAAAGGACGAAGGGTCACAGTTACCGTTACGTTACTTTGCTTGGTGGGGCTCCGCCAGCTATTTATTACGGCTTCGACCGACATATATAGATAGCAAGCTAGACAAGCCAGGCTTTTTCACGATAGTCGACTTTTTAATTGCTCCAGCCTTGACTCACTCACTCATACATTCCTTCATTCCTTCATTCATTCATTCGAACCCTTGAATCTTACCCCTCCCTTTTACCCCTTCCTTTTATCCTCCTTATTATACAATCCCGCGATCCCACGATCCCACGATCCCACGATCCTACCCGCCTACCTACCTGCCTCCCTACGTTCCCCCGGAGCCATCAAGGAAAACCAGCCCCCAAAATGCCCACAACCTCAGCCCCCAACGGCCCAACCCCCGCCCGCCCCTCCCATATCTCGCAAACCAGCCACCTATCTTTAGAAAAGGTGATACAGGACCACATACCCAGCGTGACCGCCACCCTCCGCGCCCTACTCAACATCCTCACTTCCCCGACCATACCCACAGCCTCGGCCGCGCTTGAGAGCGACCTGCGCAAACTGTGCGTGCGTGCGCAGGAGGGCGTGCGAAAGATGGACATGGAGCTGCGGGTCATCGAGGGCGCGTGGGAGCGCGTGGACAAGGAACGTTGGGAGGTGTGTCGCGGGGACTACAAGGTCGTTATGAGGCTCGTGCAGGAGGTGTTCGAGGTGGGGCAGAAACGGATGGAGGAGATTGGCGCGGCGGGCGTAGTGATTAGGGGGTTTGGGGGGTTGAGTGTTAGGAACAATCGGTAGATTGGGGGGGGGGAATACGGTACCGTACGGTAGGGTACTGGTGCCAGTATGGCGGAGGAGGAAATGGTAGCGGTGGCAGAGGGAGATTTGTAAAACACAATTTTTTTTTTAACTCTTTTGGTTTGTTCTTTTGCTCTCCTTTGTGCGGTTTGGTCCGGTCTGGTCGGTCTGATTTGGTCTCTTCATTTTCCGGGTTCGGCATGGCATGGCTAGTTAGTGGTGGGGGAGTGCTTGTTTTTTTCCTCTTTTATCTTCTTCCCCTTCTCCATTCTCCAATTCTTCTCTCCTCTTAACCCCCTCCCCCCCCTTCTCTCTCCATCTCATGATAAAGGTGTTTGCTTGCTTGCTTCCTACAGTATGTATTTATCTCCATTGGTATCGTTATCACCTTGTTCGGAGTACGTGTGGGTTTCTTTTCCCTACCCTTTTTCCCTTTCTTCTTCATGGTTGGAGGCGCTATCCTCTTTCGCCCTTACCCTTATTATTTCCTCTTGAGCTTCTTCCTACCGTGTTGAATATATATTTAGCATTATACAGTACAGTGTATGGAGGGTTCTTGAAAGGCAACCTTTTTTCTTTCTTTCTCACCTACGGTATGCTTGCGGGTGACTTGTTCTTAAAGCTCTTCTCTTTCCGTGCCGTTAAGAGTGGTGCTGTGCTGCGATCCCGATCTCCTACTCTTGCAGTATGATTTTTGATCCATTTCGTTTCTCAACTTACCCAATCCTAACTTACTCGTACAGTACGGTACCCCTTTCCCGAAAATGGATGCGCACCGTCGCTTCCTCCGTCCACCGCAACTTTCTAAGCACCCCACTTAGCACCTTGTTCCAAAACGCCTCGTTCCAAAACGCCTCTCGTCAAGTGGGGCCAGCACTCGAAAACACCTCTGCCATTCAATCCTGGCGACGGAGTCACAGTATCATGAAAGGGAAGCGTACACAGTGCGGGAAAACCTTGGAGGAGCAAACTTATATAGGCATAGGAGAGAAGCAAAAACACCAGAGACGGAACGAAGAATAAAACCGTTCAGAAGCAGATATAGGGCAAAAACACTAAAGGGCACCAATACTACAATGAAATGTAAAGAGTGAGCATGAATTGAAAGTAAGAGCTAGCGAAAATTAGAGTCAAAAACAATGCTGGCATAACCCTAACCCATACTCTCACGCTTCACCTTTACTCCCATAGTTTCTTTTCCACCGACTAACAATAATTGACCAATTATTTCTGCATCATGAGCTGGACAAACTCGTTGTCTATGAGGACCATGTTAATATGCTTTACGGGCACGCAAGGACCATCCACCAAAGAAAACTTACAGTCAATTCTGCCATCACCGTCCTGATCCGCCTCCCTGATCATCTCGTCGACCTCGTCATCCGTTAGTTTCTCACCAATGGAGGTCATAACGTGTCTCAACTCGGCAGCAGAGATAAAGCCATTGTTGTCACGATCAAAGACCTTGAAAGCCTCTGCGGAACTTATTAGTCACGGCTACAATGATTTCGGCAGTCAGGCAAAGCCAATTACCCCGGATTTCCTCCTCGCTATCAGTGTCCTTCATCTTTCTAGCCATCATGGTAAGGAACTCTGCAAATGGTAAAATAGGGCGTCAGAAAAAAAAGACACGAGCAAGAAAGGAGGGATCTAGATTGGGTTAAACAAACCGGGGAAATCAATGGTGCCATTGTTATCGGCATCGACCTCATTGATCATGTCCTGAAGCTCAGACTCGGAAGGGTTCTGTCCCAGACTCCTCATGACAGTTCCCAATTCCTTGGTTGTGATTTGTCCTGTGGGTCGTGACCACACACGTCAGTTCCCGCACCACATATGCAACGCCTGATAAAACCCTTGTCGCTTATCAAACCCCCCACCATTTCTCGTCATCAGTCGAACGCGCGCACTAGTTCGAGCACAAGTTCTCACACGTTCCACCAGAGACTTTTTACTTTTTTATATATTATAAATCGCAAGGGGCAGACGATAAAAAAGGGGTCTTTGGGGGGGGGAGGGATGTATCTACTAACCATCACCGTCTTTGTCCTAAGTACCGGGATCGTGCTGCGTCAGCTGTCATGCCGCTGATTGGGTTCGGGGGGAAGTGGGGCGGGGGAGCAGGGGCGGTGGGCAGTAAGGTTGAGGTGTGTTAAAAGAGCAGCGAGAGGGGGGTAAAGGGATAGCGATGAAGGAGATGGGAGAAACTTACAAATAGGGAGAAGGCTTCCTTGAATTCAGAGACTTGCTCCTCAGAAAGAGAATCGGCCTAGGGAATCATAGACATTATCAGTTCATTGGCTTGTAAGTATAGAGGGGGAAAAGGCTCGGCGGGGTAGAGATCTGCCCGTGAAGATGAGGGGCTAAATGTGCCGTGTCGACAAATGGGAGGGGATAGATGCTCACCATTTTAGAAGTATAGAGTTTGTTAGAGGCGTGTGAGGGAGAGAGAAATCGAAATGGGAGTGATGAAGATGATGGAAGGAGGGGGTTTGTTGGTTGGAGATGGAGAAAAGGGGACGGACGGAGAGTAAATACTGAAGAGCTATGAAAGGAGGAGAGGTAGGGGAAACCTTTCTTTCAGGTTGTGGAGGGGAAGAGGGGGGGGAGAGGACTGGCGCCAAGAACAAGCAGGAAAAAAGGGCAAGGTCAAAAAATGAGATACAGGTAAGTTATGGACCAACTGAGCCTGCCTCCCATTGTTTCAAGCTGGGCCGGAAATCGGACTACAGCAGTGATTGTATGATGCCGGTATTCGGGGGAAACAAAAAAAAGACACGCATCAGATTCTGTCACATCACACATTTCCGCCGATTTCCACCGCGCCATAGCCTTGCATGACTGCTGCTTTGCTGCCTTCTCACAGTGCTAGTCTCCTGCGTCACGTTTATCACGATAACCGTGCCAGTATCTTGATGACCAAGACGATTATTTACACGTTACACGCCGGCTTCCAGATGGGGCTCCGATAAACCAGTCCAGACAAAGCTATTGTGATGGCATCTGCGGTATGATACCATCCAAACACACCGGCACCAGCAATGGTGCTAGCAGTCAACTACCGGGACTGTATCGTGCAGTACGAGTACAAGTACCGTACAGTACAGTACCAGAAAGTGCTATCCTGTGGAGGCCGTACTCGCACACTAGTCTACCGGTACCGCTAGCGTCACCCTGCGAATAAAGCGTGACTAAGGCTCTCATCCTTCGAGAAACCAGCCCTCTCAACTCGCTCCTGTCGCCTCGCGGGCAACGGAATCGTTCCCAGCAAACACAGCCGCTCCTGTACCGCCGAAACATTGAGAAGACTTGTAGAGTTCATCACCCATCGTTCCTATGAGCACCATCATAGGCAACCACACGATAGCCTAGTCTCTATCGACAACACCTACGGGTACCTGCGAGCACGCATACACCAGACCTTCTCCCTCCGAAGCCCTACCGAACAAAGACCACACCTCGCCGCCCCCCTAACTGGCGCGTCACCAGAAAAACAGCTTCCTTGATCGCTAATGTGGCGGGATAGAACAAACCTGTGCGTTTTTCCCTTCTCCGTTCCCTTGCATCCCTCTCCTCCCCCCAGCCAATCGACCTAAACCAACCCTCGGGCAAACAAACAAACAAACAAACAAACAGACAGACAGACAGACAGACAGACAGACAGACAGACAGACAAACAAGCAAACTGACTGCCACTGCCACTGTAGCTACATCTCATACCGTCAATCCTACTCCCACCACCCCGCAAAGCGCCCCCGCTTCGCCTCCAGCGCCTTCCACGCAGACGAGGAACGCCGAGGCTTAATCTCCTCCGGCAGTGGTCTCGGCGGTGATGCAGACGACAACTTCAGCAGCAACGGCGATGCGGTGATAGAGATGGACCTGCTCCCGCCCCGGTGGGCGGATGTGTCCGACGAGGTTAGCGAACTGTTAGCGGACATCTCGCGAAAGTCTTCGAAGCTGGACAAGTTACACTCGAAGCATGTGCTCCCGGGGTTCGACGATAACCGGTCGGCGGAGGAGGGGGAGATCGAGAGGTTGACGGGGGAAATTACAAATGGATTCCATGAGTGCCAGAAGAAGATCCGAAGGATCGAGGGGATGATTGGTGGGGAGGGGGGCTCGAAAGGGGAGGAAGCCATGGGCAGGAATATCCAAATTAGTCTTGCGACGAAGGTTCAAGAGGCCAGCACTTCTTTTAGGAAGAAGCAGTCGGCGTATCTAAAGAGTACTATACCCTCCCGATACGAACCTCCCTCGGGCAGGGTTTGACTTAGCTATCCTATGCTAATGAAAGGGTGATAGAGCTCCGCGGCCTCAGCGGTATGACCACGCCCCTCGACCGGACCGGCTCTCCAAACCCCTTCTACCAGGACTCCGACCCAACAGCCGACATCTCCTTCAGTCAATCCGCCCTACAGCAAAGCGCAACACTAACCTCCAACGATGCCTCTATAATGCAGCGCGAGCGGGAAATAACCGAGATAGCGAAGGGCATCATCGAGCTCGCTGACATCTTCAAAGAGCTGCAAACCCTAGTCATAGACCAGGGCACCATGCTCGACCGCATAGACTACAACGTCGAGCAGATGAGCGTGCATGTTAAGGCGGCGAGTAAGGAGATGACCGTGGTATGTTCCGCCGCACTCTATAAATCACCGCGGGAGAGGGGGGGATACTAATGGCTATAGGCATCAACTTACCAACGAAGAACCACAAAACGGAAAATAATTCTCCTACTAATAATCCTCATAATCGGCTTCATCATCGTACTAGCTATAAAGCCCAAACGCAGCTCAAACCCCAAACCACCCCCGGACCCGGACACTCCCAGGCCTCCCAGGATCCCGATTAAGGATGATCCACCCAACCTTCGTATTCTTCGCCTCCTCAGCCGGAGGCTATAGTTCTCCCCAAGCATGTCAGGTTCCGCATAGTATTATGAAGGGGAGAACCCAGGGCAGTGCGGTAGAATATTTTGTGTGAACGTGGCTTTCCCTCACCTTCTCGCCTTTACCTTTTGTCAACCTTTTCACTTCTTTCGTGCTACCTCTGGCCTGTATGGATATTCAGGCTACGGGACGAATGGGCAGTTGAGTGAGGGGAGTTCGGAGTCGGAGTATTAATTTCCTGGATGAATTCTTCCCTCTGTTCCGGGAAGGTGCACAGGGCGTCACTCGGGTTTGGAAAAAAAAATAGAACTACCAGTATGATAGCTGTTAGAGGAGTATTTTGTATTTTATGATATGGCACATTTAAAGCGGTTGTTAAATGATTTTTTCCTCTTTTTTCTTCTTTTTTATTTCTATGTCCTGTTCTAGGGAGAGGAAGAAAAGGAAGGAGGAAAATTTAAACTTAGTTCACGGTGTGGTATAATACCGGTCGATGTCTTTTATCGTCTCGTATCGTAAGGCTATATGCCATATATACCACTACCATCTACCTACCTCCCCTCCTTTCTCCTCGCCCCCCTTCATCATACTCTCTACCACGCTAAAATTCTCAAACGCTATATTCTAGGGCCTCACTACCACCTCCCCAAGGTTGGACTCGTACTGTACAAGCGCCCACTTATCCCATCTCATACCACGAAAAAAAAAAGGAAGGAAGCACACCAAATACATTAAAAATATATTTCTATTACTTTTTTTACTCTCCAGTCCGTGCACACTCTGAGGTGTCCCTACAGAGTCCCCCCCCCGAATACAAGAGTAGGGAAATTACTAGCTTCAATAGATGCCCTGGGTGAGGTATTGGAATTGATCATACTGTTCACCGTGTTAGTGCTAGTTTCCTAGAAGGGTGGGGGGTAGTGGGGGAGGAGGGAAAGGTGGTACCATCCGCGTAAAATAACTTCCTAAGGACTTTTGTATCAAGACATCATCAACGAAAGTCTCCGCCTCAGCTTCACTGAGTTGTAACTGGAACCTTTGCCGCAGGTGGTTTGTTACATACTCCGCGCCGGAAGCAAAGCAGGGCATTCGGGATTCTTTGCCCATTAGCTCAACGAGGAGAACAATGTTGTCTGCTGATTTCCGTAGGGCTAGGTCAGAGTATATTAGGCCGGGTAGTTCTTGTGTTGGCGAGCGAGTCTGGGAATTACCTTGAAAAGCCTGCTTACACAATGCTCTGAATTTGGCGAACTCAGCCGACTGGGCACCACCGAGGACGTCGACGTACTCCTGAGTGAGCTTGAATGGAGCAGACTCAAAGCCTACGGAGCCTGGGGAGTTGGACAGCATGAACCCGAAGTCGATATGAATGATATCTGTGGTTGGGTCTAAGCACCTTACATGGGCATATGGGAGCATCCGACTTACGGCCCTGATTGTCGATTAGGACATTACCATTATGTCGATCCTTCAACTGAAGAATATAGCATATTATACTGTACGCTGCCAGTGACTGTGTAAACGCGCCTACTGCTGCTTTATACGTATCTGACTCAGGCTCGCCAAATGTCTTTCGAGAATCAGTCGATACCGAAAAGTATATGCAGAGCACAACCTACCTTGACGAAATGGTCTTTTAGTGATGCAATTCGCCCCCGAGGGTTCTTCATAGAGGCTATGGATGCTATGGTGAGACTTCGCTTCAGGGAGTGTAGAGAAGTTCCGTTTGTAATTGTCTCAATTAAACCCGACGACTGCACAGTGTCAGTACGAAATGCGCATGGGAAAAATTGTAAATATGTGTATTCAGGTAAACCTACCTCTCCAGTGACAAGAATTCGCATTCTTTTTATCCATACAGGCACATCGGCCTTTTCCCAAATTTTGCCACAAACATGAATAAGCTGACACGCGAATGCCTCTTGCCTCAGGTCGGCCCCTGTCTTCACGATTACGCTCAATAGATCCCAATTCTTACACCAACCATATGGGGAAGATTTCCGGATTCGTTCCCTCTTTGCGCTCCACTCCTCTCCAAAGGTTGCTGCACTAGGGTCGTCTCTGTCCGCTTTCCGCTCGACGCCTGAGGTCTTCTGATCGTTCTCCATACGGGCAGCACCAGCCCCAGCATTCAAATTGGCAGTTGAGTCCTCTACTTCTTCCACATTTGCTGTGGCCAGAGGAGCTGCAGTGTTTGCCATAATAGTATCAAATGTTGGGAGAGGTGCGGTTGCCTCGAAAAAGAAGCTCTGCTCCTCTAGGGTTTGCATACTGGCAATAATTTTAGCCTTGATAGCTGCCACCTCATTCTTTGGCGTTTTAGAACTGCTGGCATCTAGCTGGGCCAGCATTTGTGCAGCAGTTCGCATATGTGTCGCGAGGGCCGACAAATCGGGTTGCTCCCCTCCTGATCGAGTGAGAGAGTAGGAAGCTGACTTCTTCCCCGGTGCGGGGCTTCCGGAGCGGCTTGATGAGGAAAGCTCAGAAGACCGAGGAGTCATTATCGGTGATGCCGTTGATAATGTTGTTGCACCACTGGAGAGCCGGGGCAGATGCGGCGGGGTCACCGTGGAAGCGATCGATTGGTCGGAGCTACTGGCTCGAGGGGTATCAAGGTCGTATGGGTCGTCTATTGTCGATGATGTTCCAATATCGCCCTTGGATGGCTCGAAAACACTATCAGATTCACCCTCACTGTTACTCCCCCGATAATGGCCTGGGGGAGGATCGGTCAAATCAAATATCCTCTTCTTTCCCCCGTCCTCGGATAGTACCCCCAATAGCCTCTGGTTCTCCTCCTTTTCGGGATCGAAGTCAAAGTCGTCCCGTAGTACCTCGACCATCAGCAGGTAGGGGACTCTCTCCGCACTGTTTAATACGGTAGCTTCGGCCGGGTTGATTCTGACCACCCTATGGTGTCCGGTCGTCGTACCACCTTCAATCACAGTTGCCGGGCAAATTACCGGAATATCCACTTCTGAAGGTAGGTCATTGTTCAACAAAGCCAGTTCCGCACGCAGGGCACTTAATCGCGCAGGCTTAGGCACCAAAACCAGCCTGTTAGATATATCCTCCAGTGCAGACAAGAATTGCGTCTCGTTTCTGAAATAATTGTCCCTAAGCATGCGAACTTTCTGTGAGGTTGACAAAAGCGAAGGCGCCAGTGGCCTACCCTTCCCTGTCCGACGGCCGTTTGCCCCAGATCTCGACTCTGCAACCGTTGCACTTCGTTGGATCCGGAGGTCCGGTAGCGAGGAAGAACTCTGGGGTATATGCGGAACATCCAAGCTGCCAGACTTTGACGGCCTCCTAGATAACGAAAACGATCGGGTTCCGGCTTTCGAAGGGCCTACATTAACCTGTTGAGGATTCGGCGACTTGGGGCGCGAGGCTGGCCTGGAAGACCCCTCGACACCCTTTGAACTCTGGCTTCGCGGCACTCGTTCCTTTTTGGGGCGGGAGTTAGGCCTGGGGGCAACTGTCTTGCTCCTGGCAAGTCTCGGAAGTTCTGATATCGAGCCAGGGGGATTCCTAGGTTTCCGTGCCTGAGCCACAGCGAGAGGACCCGCGAACCTTGGCAATATGGGCGCAGCGACACTCCCGAGGATAAGGCTGGCTAGCAGAGTAACCGGAAGGACATTCTCTTTTAACCGTTCCCGCCTCCTAATCTCCTCCCCACCAAAAACGATGTGCTGTACCTTGTTACAAATGCGTCTGCATGTCTACACCATGACAATGTTAGGTGGCCCTGCGCTGGTTGCATTTTCGTGTCTCTGTGCTTCCATACCTTAAAAGCGTTCGACTGTGGATTCCCGGAAAGGTCATGAAGATGTGTTTGGAAAAGCCAGAATATCTGTGGGTATCTGTCAGACATCCATGCACCACCCAGAAGGCTGACGGCGGCAAGAGAGCTATACCAAGAGGGCACCATGCGCTGATCGTTCGCACAGTTCGAAAATGAACTCCTCCAAAGCCACAGACTCCGTGTCCTCTATGCTTACGAGTAAGTGACACAGTTGTGGCAGGAAGAACTCGATCTCCGGATAACTGAACTCTCGAAGCTTTGTGCAGAGGAAATGGTGGACTCCTATCTGTTTGGCGTACCGGCTGCGATCCGTGCTCTCTTGTCAGCGGGGAAGAAGGTTCATACGACAAAAAGATTCAGGGGGACTTCTTCTCCATACGCCAGATATGCCACAGCAAGAAAGGGGTCGTCACTGAAATGATCGGATGTGATCAGTCTGTAGAGCAATTGTGACATTTTCCTTGCCCGGGGGGTCACCGTCCAAGAAGTGTTCGAAGGGGCTCGGTCAGAACAGCTATCGAGACACCTCCTGAGAGCTCGCTAGCGGACGCCGAGGGGAGTGTGGAGAAGGAGGCTGAGGTGAGGAGCAGGAGCAGTCAATAACTCGGGAACGGGCGATCCTAAGTATATTTGTAAGGACCGATGACGGCGTTGAGCATCAAGGTAATCGGGGCGAGGGGTGGTGATGTTGTGTATCACCCCCGAACGGTTTCTCCTGGGGGCGAGCAAACTGAGTCGCCAGTTTAGGGAATTCGAGAACCGCCGGGATTCAGAAAATAGAGCACGGCTACCGTATTCGATGCCCGGGGAGGGAGAATCGGATGCAACCGAATTAATTCCCGAGAAACCCACCTTACACTGTACCTATTATATTGGCATTTTGCCCATCATAGAGAATATTCATACAGCTTCAAGAATCCATCAGGACAGAAATTCGTCCCCCTCCCCCTTCCCGGACAGGCTAGTGTGTTGGTTAAGCATGTGGGAGGCATTCAGCTACCGTACGAGTACAGTACGAGTACATGTACAGTACAACAAGTACAGTAAGTTAACTTAATCTTCAGTCTACTCGTACGGTATTAGTGTACCGGTATTACGTGAGCAAGAACACCTCGTCCAATCCTATCATACGAATCGAGGGACCAGATTCTCGACGGCGCGGCCTGACAAAACTTTCGACATTTCTATCGCAAGATATGAAAAAAATAGTAGCGGCACCATGACCCTCCCTAATCTTTATACACTTCGATATTCTAAGTCCAACCCGGCCGGAATAACCCCGCGCTCTGGGAAAAGTTCCCCTCAGTTACCGCTACCATGCCCCCGGAATGAGAGAGGTACCGGTACACCGTGCCATAACAAGCCCAACCGTGAATCACGTGTGTAATAAAGTCGCCGCAATGTCAATTGAAATCCTCCGCAAGCCTCTACCCCGCTCCTTTTGATGAGCTCCAAGGAACAGAGCAGCGAAAGGCCATGCATGTAAATTCTCCTCCTCGCGGCAGACAACGCTTCCGACCCCACTAAGCCTCTTAGCTAAAGCTTTTATGCTCTCGTAAAAGATCTCCTCTGATCCGAAGTAAAAGTGAACTCCCCGCACCGGCATTGCCTTTCTCCACCACGAAATATCCATGCAGAACCCGGGGGAAACCATCGGATTCCATAGTTTCTCCGAACCAGCGTATAATCGTCCATACTCATGCAACCGGGATACCGAGAGAAAGTCTGAGGGTGTATCTCGGTTCAGCTTTGACACTATGTGCGTCCATGGGGAAATAAGCGCGGCGAAGGAAGGCTTCTTCTGAGGACACTTGTTCCCCACGTGAAGTAATAGGCTGAGTATGAGGGCACCTCCCGCACTGTCCCCACTGACGACGACTTTCCCGGGGTCGCCTGTGATGGAGAGGACGTGGTTATATCCAGAAATTATCTCTTGAAGCTGGACCGGATACGTTTTGTCCGGAATGAGCGTGTATTCCACGGCGAAAATCGCTGGGTTAGAGAAGCCAGATTTCTTCAATATCGAAACCCACGAAACGAGGAACTCGAGGTAGAAGTAACACGTTCCCATAGCGAAGCCTCCACCGTGACAGTAGTATATGACCACATCCGGCTTCCTGGCACCATCCTCCACTATCCAAATACCCTTCACGGCACCTTTATTCTAGTGGAAGCGAGATATCAACGGCTGGTCATTATTTTTTTAAATTTTTTTTCGGGATCCGAGATTATTGAAATGACCCACCAAGTTGATTTCCCTCCATAATGGCCTGTGTCTGAGGTGCCAAATGTAGCCATGCCTGAACATTCTAAATCTCAGGAATGGCAAGGCAACTCCTTTCGTGAAGAATACACGACCGATTCTGGTGGGCATGCATGTAAACCCATACCTCATGCACGCTACGACAAGTGCTTGGAAGACCGTACTCCGCCGTGTGAATGCAGATTGTCGATTCTGTTTCGTAAGATACCGCTCCTTCGTTATATCAATCGGCATCCTCCAACCTAAGATAGAGATTAGATTTTCCGACCCTTTTTTCCGCATTTGCTTAGAACCCGCCTGTGTCAACCTACATAGAAAGGGGAGCGCCCGAACCGCGCAAATGACGGTTCCGTAGATCCCGACATCGCGCAGTAATCGCCATGTAAGGAATACTGCGAAAACGAGTATATCGAACCATGAGACTTGACCCAGTAACATATCGCTATGAAATTTGAGGGTCTGAAAGATGAGGAGTGGCTGTCGAAGAGGGCATCCAGACCTTGGATGCTTCGTCATCCACAAAAGGAATTCGCCCGGGAGTGTCTGCAATAGCCTTGCGACCCGGTCTTGGTCAAATCAGCGACAGCCCCGGTAAGAAATATTCCCAACAAATCAAACACCGTGTTCAACACCATCACAACACCGGTATCCTTTTTAGCCCCGAGTGGAAACTCGGAATCTGGATCGAGGTTTCCCCAGAGGTAACCCCGGCTACGCAGGACAACCAAACAGACCCCCAAACCCAGCGTGGGTTTTCCTCCTCTTTTCTCCTTTCCCCCCCTTGCCCTGTTACAAGCACTCGGTATTGGTACCTGTACTACATGTGTAACCAAGATGGTGCCAGGGAATAGAGGAAAAAGAAAAATAAACTGCTCTTCGGGGAGATCACAGAGTAGAAATTCTTTGCCAGATTGGTGCAGGGAAGGGGGTTGTGAATTCGGATGGGCGCCCTGCTTTTGTACCCTATACTTCCGCCCTTGGTTGTTTCCAATGATGTCACAGCCCATGATGCCTCCAGTCCGATTCGAAGGTGTGAGACCGGGGCAGCTAAACTTATGTGCCAGAGTGCCTTGGACATCCAGGGCTACCCGATAGGCTACCCGATACCGCCCTTTACTGTGGCTGTACCTGTTCTCAAAAAAAGTCAAAAAAAACACTTGTTATGTCCGATGCTCCTCGCCCAGTATTGAGGTGTTTTTCTAGGCCTCCGGTGTGCCCGCGTCAGCTACAAATTCGGAGATTCAATTACCGGGTGTCGATAGATTCAATCGAGTGACCATAGGTGACGCCTGATGGTAATGTATCTTACTGTAGTGTATTCGTTGGGCACAGGATCCGGCGGATTTGAAAGCCGGCATCCACTAGGGACGGTACCGGTAGACTGAGAGCTCTGTACGGTAGACTATCATGTTGAGAAGAAGAAAAAATGAAACAACACTTTCTATCGTAACTCCAGTCCTGATATGGTGAGATCACTTGAATAATCGGGCACGATGGTTTTTGTTCGAATGCATCATATATTTACCTGCACCCTACCGTTGCTGTTATTCCTGAGGCCGTTTGGGCTTTGGCTTCCCGCTATTAGTCTATTATAGCCTAATAGGATATCGGTATCGGTCCGTACGGTAGCACTCACTGGTTTTGGAACCTCGGCAACCTTTGCATATGTAATCAATAGGTTGAGGCTCCGGATTTTCTATTTTTCTAGGCTAGAAACGATTAGATAATAAAAAGAGGGAATTAAAAAGCCCATATCAGTGCGAGGAATATTAAGGGCTAGCATTGAATAGCTAAGCCCTATCTTGTGCCTGTTTATGCATTGCTCGTTTTTGACATGGGAGATCCGGTGCTCGTCCTGCTCTCCGTTACATCAGCAGCAACGCTCCGCACTTGGGCTCTTTCAACGACACAACGCTCCACGCGACATCGCCAGAGAAAGTCAACACCACTCCCCAATTTCTCCACCCGGCACCACTGAATACATCTGTACTTCATCACCTCTGCGCTTTATCTACCCTCTGAACCTTCCAGCGACTTCCGCAACATTCCCATATTCCAGAGGGGACGTGTGAACTTTTCTTGGGCCAGTTATGGCTGCTGCGCAAGAGCAGTCGGTGAACGCCTCCAGGTGAGAAACGCTAACGCCACCGCTCCGCGACCTCTCTTTTTTTGTGCTGACCATGGGTTCCACCGGTAGTGCTGTTCCTCTCCCTGAAACTCCTGTAAAACTACGATGTACTATTTGTAGCGAGCTTGCAAGAGGCGCATCTCGTCTGCCTTGTTGCGAGCAATCGATATGTGAAAGCTGTCAGTAACTTCTCTCTCCCTCTTCAGATCAATCACCGTAGCTGGATGGCGACTGACTCCGGAATTCAGGTCGATCAAAGCTGCCGGATGTCTGTCCGGTCTGTGACCATTCCCCGCTTAGTGCCGACGACTGCAAGCCGAATGGAGCCTTGAGGACCACCGTGGCGGTATTCTTGCGAATCGCTGAGAAAAAGCATAACTTGTCGATGCAAAAGTTACAGAAGGAACAGGCAAAGTCTGTTGAGTCGCAATTAGAGACAAAGGTGTTGGAGTCAAAGCTGGAAGGGTCTCAACCGGCTCAAGCCTCTCCTGTCATTAATCCGTTGACTCCTCCTCAAGAGGCCGAGGAGGTTGCCCGAAGCGAGGGGCTGCAAGAGCCACTGGTTTCTCCACCCACTGTTAGGGTAAGATTTTTATTTTCATTTTTATTTGCAGCAAATATCCCACCCGAGCATCTCGGAAGATACTAACGGATTATAGGAAAGCACCCAACAGCCTGGAGAGAAATCTCCTGGAAGGAAGGAAGTGGCCCCGGTGCCTGACCAACAAGCCAATGATTTTGTTGGCGATCAGAATGCGTGGTTTGGTCAGAATTCCGTGCAGATGGGTGGTATGCCGAACATGTTTTCTGCGCATGGTGTCACTGGTACTCCCTGGGGAGATTACAGCATGATGCAGAATATGCAAGGCGGATGGACAGGCGGGTACGGCGGCATGATGGGTACGCAGTACACCGTTCTATATATATTCCCCTGATAACCGTACTGATATTGTCTATCAAGGATACGCTATGGGTATGAATCCGATGGTAATGGCTCAAGGGGGAGGATTCGATGGAGGGAGTTATGGAGGCATGGGAATGAACAGAACTGGATTTAATAACGGTCAGGGTGGAGGATCTATGGGATGGAATAATGGATGGAATGGACAGAATAATGTGGTATTCAATCCTGGAATTGATGGTACACGTAATGGTGGATTTTATTCTGCTGCGTCTGCTGGTGGATATAATCACCAATCTCACGGACATCATCAGATGCCCCAACAGTATCATAATCCTCATTTCCAGCGGCAGCAGCCTTACCAGCGAGGTGGCCGTGGTGGTGGTGGCTTTGCCGGTGCTGGGCAGCGCCAAGTTTCTCTTGAACGCCAGCAGCAGAATTTTCAGGATGCACAATTTCAACAACAAATACAAGGAATTGATGAAGCTGTTGCTGCTGTCACCACCAGTGGCGAAAAGAAAGGAGAAAAGATCCAGTCTGTTGTGTCTGAGGACCCTGATAATATAGCTGATGCAAACGATGTACCTACTGAGTCTGCCTCTACCATTGTGGCCGGAGGAGCAATTGGTACTACTGAGGATCTCGCAGAATCATACAATTCGATCACTCCCGTGAATCCTGACATGGCTGCTCAGTATTTTCCCACTGATGATTTTAGATCGCAGGGCTTTCAACAACAGCAAGTTTACCCCATGCAGTCTAATAATGGATTTAGGGGGGGCCCTAGACGCGGTGGTTTCCGTGGAGATCCTATGGGAGGCCCTAGGGGAGGCGGCCATGTCGGGCCCATCCCAACTGCACCCGGATCTATGGATGGCGATAGAAGACCCGTTGAAGGATTAGGACTAGGCGTTGAAGGAGCCCCTACGGGACCTAAAGCATTGAGGGAGAGAGGATTAAGCCGTAGTGGACCGCCCATTAGAGCAGGCTATGTCGGGCGCAGAGGAGGAGGGTATCCGGCATCGTCATGGACTAGAAGGTTTGTTTTCATAGTTACCATTGTTCAACTCTATACAATCTTGCGGTATTCTCATGTGTATTTGTTTAGTATCTCGCCCGACCATGCCTTCTCCAGATCCAGGTCACAGGATAGCCGGCGCCGGTCCAGATCGCCAGATCGAGAGCACAGCCGTGGGAGAGACAGAAGTAGGGATCGAAGCCGCGATCGTCGTAGAAGTATAAGAAGCCGAAGCCGTCACCGGAAACATCGTTCCCCATCCGTTGAAGTAAACGGTGAGCGCCCCAAGGGAAGGTCCCTAGATCGTGATATCGCGGACCCACCCTCCGCCGCCACAAACCCCCCTGAGACTGCAAACGATGTTACTACTGCTGCCCTTGCTACTGCTACTACTGCTGCTACTGCTGCTACTGCTACTACTACTGCTACTACTACTACTACTACCGCAGAAGCACAGGAAGCAGGGGACAAGGAATCCATAACCACGGCGACAAATGGCGCCCAGGAGCCCGCTTCTGCTAGGAGTAAGCGATCAAGAGACGATGTATCATTAACGAGAGACCAGGCTCCATCCCACTCGCGCAGTAGATCCCCCGACCGTCATCATAAACGCTCTCGTCGACACCGCCGACGAACCCCCAGCCCCGATCGTGACCGCGACCGTGACCGCGATAGAGATAGGGATAGGGATAGGGACAGAAGCAGGGAGCGCCGACATAAACGCTACAAACACAAGAGCAACAAACGTCACCGTCACTCCCGCTCCGGGTCGCCTTTCGCTGGTGCCACCCAAGAGCCTACCGCTACGCCTACAACTGCAGCGCTAGCAACAACTAAAGGCCCCCTACCCATCGACACAGACGTGGCAGCTGACAGCCGCCGGGAACCCCGGCCCAAGCGGCGCAGCGACAAGGATAAGGATAAGGACCGCCGCGATTCTAGTCGTCACCGCTCACATAGACATAAACGTGATCGTGAGAGAAGGGATAAAGACAAAGGAGACGCTACGCCCATCACACCAATCGACAAGGAGGGCACTGGAGATCGCCATCGCGATCGAGACCGCAGAGACAGGGACAGAGAACGCGAGAAAGACAGAGAGAGGGGAGGGGAGAAGGGTAGAGAGAGAGGCGGAGAGAGAGATAGAGACGGTAAGGAAAAGGATAAGGATAAGGATAAGGATAAGGATAAGGGAAAGGGGGGAGAAGACCGAAAATCTCGCCGCGACCCCCGCTCGCTGAGGAAACTGTCATACAAATACGACGACGAGATTGACCTGGAAAGACAGGCGGAGAGGGATCGGGAGGCGGAGAGGTGGGGGATTAAATAGAATCTTTTCCTTTCCTTTCCTTTCATTTACCTTTCTTCACGATTTTTTGATTGATGAATGGCCCGACGGATAGGGAGGAGAGAAAACGGACATCCCCTCCAGGGAATTTGTTTCTTTTCTGTTGTCTAAAAGTTACCTTTGTTGTTTCAATTTTTATTTCACTTTCCTTTTTTTCCTTTTCTTCTCTGTGTATTGCCTTTCTCCCATCTTTTCTACACCTTTCTTTCTTTCTTTTTTCCCCCACAAATCTCCCCTTGGCTGTGTTGAGTCTACAATACGTTACGTTCGCATCCTCTTTTTCCCCTCCCCTTCACAGAGCCTTTCCCATCCCATTCATCCTGTCCATAAATTCCAAACCCCTTTTAAAACCTTTACTTTCAATTCTACCTTTACTCTACGCTCTTGCGTGTATGTGTATAAGGGTACTTTTTTCCCCCTCTCTTTCCTACTCTTTCTACGCCTCGTGTTCATTATTGGTTAACGCTGGTAGGCTAAGCTGAGCTAGGCTGAGCTGTACCATCTATCTCTGGAGATTTCTTTCTTTCTTTCTTTCTCATGGGTTGGTGGGCGGATGGGTGTACGGATGGATGGATAAGGGGGGAAGGTGGGGAGGTGGGGGGGGGAAAAAAAAAGAGAATCACATATTCTCACTCACTAGATTTCAATTTTTCTTGTATATTACGTTAGGTTTTGTCCTGGTATGATATTGATATTGATATTTAGGATGGGGCGGGGTAGTATCGCAAGTAAATAAGCAAATCAAGCATTAAAAAAAAAAACGAAAAACAAAAAACACTCAAGACTTATGATATCATACTAAACATCATCCAAACCATCCCCCCCCTCCCCATCCCCCAATCTCCGAAAGAGCAAAATCTCCCTCTTCAATCCCTCACCAGTCCCAACCCCCCACCGCCTGACCAGTCCAAACCCACACTCAGCGACCAACGCCTCCATCCCCTCCCCGGGCCGAACCCGAATCCCTTCGAACACGCCACGCAACTCTGGATTCTTCCCAACGGCCCGCGCATAACTCTCCCACCCCTGCGGCTCGAGCACGAAGTGTCCGTGGGGCCTGAGGTCGGCGGCCACCTTTTCGAAGAAGCTCCGGAGGCCCGAGTCCCCGCGCGCGAGGTGCACCCACTTGACCACACTCAGGGCGAGCGCGACGTCGTACCCCGGGCATCCACCTGAGGCGGCGGGGTCGGTGGCGGTAACGTAGTCCCCGCACCAGAACCTGCCCCTCTCGCGAGCCTCCGCGGGGGGGATCCTGGGCCCGTGCTTCCTCACGGAACTGACGGGGTACCACTCCTCCCGCCCCGGCGGAGGGTCCGAACAGGGGCGCACCCGCGAGAGCATGAACTTGACGTGCGATTGCGATTTCATGACTAGCTCCTCGTCCACGTCCACGCCCACTACTGACTTCACCCCGTGGCGGAGGAGGAGGTGCCCAGTCACGGCGCCGTTGTTGCAGCCGATATCGAGCACCCTTGCATCCTTTAGGATCTCCTGGGGGAGGATGAGGAGGCGTGGGTCTGGGATGTGCGCTGCTGGGTTAGAGCCTGTGTGCCGGGCGTGGGATTGGTAGGTTTTGTAGGAACCAGTTTTTGTGGACATTTCCCCCCCCCCTTTTTTTAGGGGTGGTAAATTTAGGTGGGTGGGTGATGGTGATGGGTGGGTTGGTTGTGTTTTCGATGCTTGTTTTTTTTTTTAGTGGTATGGCTTGGCGGGGCTTTTGGTTGGTTGGGATGCGGCGGGTTTTATGTTGAGGGTGCGGGTGAGGTGGTGTGAAATGGGGTGGTTGGGGACGTGGTGCGAGTGATTTCCGGTGATGAACTCCAGGGAGTAATTTTGTGCGGGTATCCGGCCTCGTTCATATGTAACCCGGGGGGGGGAAGGTGGAGAGAGTTGTCTAGGATCGGGCAGGATAATCTACAAAAAATATATAAAAAGAAAAAGTCCCATAAGCTCCCTCTAGTTCATAAAGTGATGTTTCCCTCGCTTCCCCGAGTGATATCCCACTACCTACATCCAGAGACCCGCCCAAACGCCTTTCCCAATACCCATCCGTAATTTCCATTCCCGAGAGCCATCTACCTCCACCCCCCAACCCGCCCTTCATCCCACCTCTCCTTCCTCTCCTTCCTCAGGTGATACGTCTTCCTCAGCGCCCTATACTCCCTCACAAACTCGCCAACATCCCTCCCACCCTCTTCCAGAAATGACTCTGCCATCGCATCGGCAACAGCCTCGGCGTCGCCCACAGCATTAACCAATCGGCTATACAACGCCGGTGAAGAGAACGGCTGCAAAGCTTGGTACATCTCCTTTTCTCTATCCCTCCAAGTCCTTTCCAACTGCCTGGTCTCCACGAGCGCCCTTTCTGTACCCTCCCTAGCTGCTGCGAGTTTGGATTCGAGCGCGACAAGTCGAGAAGCTAAGTCCGCATTGTACTGCAAGTTCGCAATGAGCACCGCGTCGGCACTCGCCGCCGTAGGATGGGTAGTCGTGAAGAGTGCTTCTAGTAATTGCGGTGAGTTGAGGATGTGCTCTAAATCGTCGCGTCTATGAATTTTTAGTTTATTTTTCAGTCAGTAAGCAATTTTCGGGTGATGAATGGACGGATGAACAAATTATGGGCGGTGGGCAAGGTCAGGGTAAGGGATCATACGATTTGTTCAGCAACACAGATGGGACGAACCCATCGTCTGTCGGGGGAGGTGGAGGCGGTGGAGGCGGTGGAGGCGCAGGAAGAGCTCCTGTGGGCATAGGCGAGGTGGTCCGGGAACCCGCAGCCGAGGATATAGGCTTTGGCGGGGGGGCTGGCGGAAGGTTTGGATCGTAGGATGCGCTACTCTGGTATGATGATGGTGTCGACATTGGTTGTTCAACCCAAGGTGGGGGCCAATTGATGTACGGTGGAGAAGGGCAAGTAGGGAGAAAAGGTTCCCGGGACTGAGGGTGATCCCGTGGTTTATCAGGACCTGGCTGAGGCTGGGGAGGAAGAGGTGAAGTTCTTGGAGGGGGGGGGGTACAGGTGTGATATATCGGGAGGTTGGAGGCACGAGTGGGAGAGGGGAAGTGAACACTGTCAGGGGCTCAGTGGGGGTGTTGGGCGGAGGTTACGATAAGGTGTGGAGCAAAAAGACGATTGCCGAATGACGAATGCAAGCCCAAGCCCCAAGCCTTGACCCATCGTTCCCTTTCAGCCGTCGTTGCCATGGCAACGGAAAATCTCATCCACGCCCCCAACCAGAGCATGAGGGCCCCGCGAAAAGGAAGCAATTCTCCATCCTGCTTCCTCCTCCTCCTAAACCCCATCCCTCCAAATGCTAAGCATCGCTCCTCACCCTCACCCCTCCGGTCGGCCTCTCGCGCGAGTGTTCCCCGGCCCCGCTTTGCCTTCCAATCGCCAACATAGACGCAAAAAACACCCCTCCACTCCACTCCACGTTTCCCATTCTCCTTTTCCCACCATCCAAAAGTATTCAGTACAGGTAGTATAGTGCCACCCCGCGGTCGAGACATTCAGTATCCGTGAGACACCTCCATCCACCTTCAGTACTGCCATACTGTACAAGCGCTGGGCGGGCGCAGGTACATCTACATAAGCAACCCGAATCGCCAATCCTTCAAGAAAGATTTACATTCGCGCACATGAGGAACAAACAAACAGGCAGGCAGGCAAGCTTGTAACCTCCTTTATAACTCGGGCGCGCGAGAAGGGCAATGATGGAGGAGGCTCTTCTGACAGGGGGCAGATGAAAATCAACCCTGGAGCTCCCAAGATTTGATGATCGACTTGCCATCCGGGGGCGCGGGGCAATACTCGAGTACCGCAAACTTTAGCCGCCATCGAAGAGGATAACAGATAGGTAGATGGGTGGATAGACAATTGTTACAATGGGGGGGGGGGTTCTTTCTCTTTCCTTCCGAGTGGTTTTTTTTCTGTTTCTTCTTTTTTTCCCTTCTTTTTTTTTGGGTGGGGTTTATTTTCCAGGGTCGAAGATGGGGGGGAGAGAAGAGAGAAAAGAGTAAAAGGGTAAGACAGGAAAAAAGGCTGGTGGTTCCGGTATTAGGGAAATGGGGGGGAAGTAAGTAGGAAGGGGGGAAAAAGGACTCGACCGACCTCAGGCCATTGTAATATGGGAGGAGGAACGCATCAAGTGCAGAGAGTGGAAAAAGGAAAAGAGAAAGAGGAACAGAAAAAAAAAATTAACATACAAAAGCAAGTTCTGTATGAACAATGAACATATATATGAACCACACAAGTATTGAATATATAAGACTAGTGGTGGCGGCGGTGGTGGTAACAATAATAGTGGAAACAGTAGCAAAAAGAAAAGAGAGGCCTTCCCAAATTCTCCCCCTTATCTGGACCGGGTACAATTTAAACAAGGAGAGCGGAGGAAAATTAGGGAGTGATGGTAATGAGAGAGGGAGCCTGTTGAAGAAATAAGAGAGAAATAAAGAATGAAAAAGGGATTCCCCCAGTTCCCCCCACCACCCGGCACAGAGATGCATTTGCCCATGTGCGCCCAATAACCAAAACTATAACTGAATTCTGCGACCTGCCAACCATTCCCGACGTTTCCATAACGCCTGCCTCGGAAGGGAAACGGCTCAGAGAAGAGTAAGAAAGGAGAAAGTGAGGGACCGTTGAGGTTGTATGTCCCCAAGGATATCCAAACATCCCTAATCATCATCACCACTCGCCCCATCGTCTCCTATGCCCTCCCCTCGGAAATAATCCTTTGCACGTTCCGCTTTATCATTTGCCTTCCAAGGAAATAAAAAGGAAAGGATGTGCCCGTCTGCAGAAAAAAAGGGAAAAAAAGAAAAAAGAAGCCTACTCCAACCAAGGGAGAGGAGAGGAGAGGGAAAAAGGGTTGCCAATATTCCTTGGAAACAAAAATGAATACATTTGCCCTGAACTAGGCCCCTATCATCGGCCCCTTGTCCGTTGAATCCTAATGCCTCCATCATGTTTTCCTTCTGCGTTTGGGTTTCCCTGCTGCTGTTGAGGGTGTATCATCATCTCCACTACCCTCATCCTTTCCACTACCACCGCGAGCCCCTCCAAGTGCCTTCTCGTTGCCCTTCTTGACTGAGATAGCACATCCTTGCCGTTTGAGCGCTTTCGTCAGAGAAGTGCTAGGCCGCATTCCCGGGAATTCCTTCGCCGTATAGACCGTGAAAATGTCGCTCAATGTCTCCGTTATTATTGGTGTGTAGCCCTCAGGCGGCAGGTCACTGGGTTCGAGTCTCATCAGGACGAATCGTAATCGGTACTTGCCATGTGTTCTACATGATAGGTCCGGAAAGCAGAAGAAACAGCCCTCCTTCCCTTCCTCATCCTGCCCAACAAATGGTGATGAGACCAGCGTTCCCATAAGTCGCCGCGTCTGTCTTTTATCCATGCCTATCAGGGCCGTCTCATCCGAATGTCCGTCTATGCTCCACAGCGTGCAGTGAACAACATTAAACGGGTAGCGCATCTCCGTCGGATCTGAGTTCCCTGCTGAGTCGTTTATGATCAGTTGAACGATTGGAGGTGGGTCGATCACCCTGCGGTCTCGCTCACCGAAACCACACGCTCGAGCTGCTACTGGTTGTTGGCGTACCTGGATCTCGTAGCGACCGGGGCTATCACAGATACATATCAACAAATTGGTGCCCACCCCTTTCAAACCGCTCCCGGCGCAATGTTTAAACTGACCTTCTCTGAACAGGGGTATCTCTACGTGTGGTTGCGACGTCCTCTACGGATGTCGGGGTGAACGATGGGCCGTAACCTGAGTGTTGTTGCTGCTCGTCCGGGAAGCCCTCATCGATTGGGCGCTTTGCAGTGTATGTTGGGGAAGGTATCATAGCGTTGATGCTCGACCTGGTAGTTGAGTTAACTGATGAAAAGGCAACCCATTTATCCGGGGGTATAGCAATCAATATAATTGTTCGGTTTCTCATACCTTCGTCGGTCTGGTTCGGAATCCCCACTGAACCTCCTCCTCCGGTCATAGCCCTGATCGACGCTAAAGGGTGAAGGCGATGGATACCCCGAAGAAGCGGGCGATGGAAAGGGCTGCGATGGCATAAGTCGTGCTAACCGGTTTGAGACTTGATTTCCCTCATTTTTGCCACGAGGAGTCTGTAATGGACTCGGAATGTGTTGGGGAGGGAGTGGATTTTGTGGTGGAATGTGAGTCGATGGCTGTTGCGTCTGCACAGGTGGTGGTAATGCTGGTCCGCCGGCACTAGCACCGGAGCTAGGATTCGCTAGAGGCGCCAGTACAGGCCCGGAGAAACGTACTGGTGCAATCTGTGGACTTCCAAATATGGACGGCGGAGGGAGTTGGGGGTGGGTGTGGGATTGAAATACCGGTATTGCGGAGGGCATAGGTCGCAGCGACTCGGCAATTGGAGACGATGACGGTATTGTGTTTCGTGCTTGGTATGGATAGATGGGTTGAGGAGGGGGTCCAGGCGACATCATTCAGGCTCATTCGCGACCCTAAAGGTCGGCGGTTGAGGGTGGGGATATGGGAGTGTGGCCGCGGTGGAGAGGAGGGGGCGGGAGAGGGGCGGGTGATAGGGGCAGGATCAGAGGCCGACAGCAGCGGGGGGAGGGGTTGAGGTTGCGGATGTCGGGCGGTAGAGCTCAACGGCGCGCGCGTGTGCGCCTCCCGGCGGAGGCAATCCTTAATCCTTCCTCCGGAAAAGATGAGCTACCCCAGCACAAAGTTGTAACGCACGTATCGTGAAAAGCCCAAAGGTTTCTCTTGGGGCAGCCGGCCAATGGTAATCCCAACCCCGCAATACCACAGATAGAACAGGATAAACACACAAAACACTGGGGAAAAGTGGTTCGGGAAGGATAGAGGGAGTGCTGCGCTTCTCTCTCCAACGCGGGAGCTGATTATCACCAGGGTATTGACGACAAGTTCCGAGGGTTGTTTGTAACGGCAGTGAGACGGCAGGTGAACCGGGGCAAAGTGGAGGGAAGCTAGCGAACCGAATGCGATCGGGATCGGAGCAAAGCTGATCAGGGGAAAAAGGAAATATTTGAATATAATACGTATGTAACGGGTTCAAGCAAAGGAAGGCAAAGCGTAACAGGTCGTGTGCACCGTAACCTCGTGTTGTGCAATTTGGGGTTTATGTACGGGGAAATAAATCTATCCACGGATAAAGCGAAGCTTAAAGAGTGAGAGGCAATCGTGCCGGTGACTAAAAATCCTGTAGAAACAGCGTTGGCGTTACAATGAAAGCGGAATGGAACTGAATGGTGGAGGGGAAGTGGTGTACGGGGCAAAAGAACGGGGTTGGCTGAGAGAATGGAAGTGAGACGTCTCTGCACGTCTACTGGTAGGGGAAGGAAGGAGGGACGGAGGAAAACAGGATCGTACAGAGGAAATGACTGAGGGGGGGTGGGGGGAGGCAGAGGTGGGAGGAAGACAGGAGGTGGGACAGAGGAGAGGATGCCGAGGGGAGAGAGGGAAGGAAGGGAAAGGGGAGGATGAGGAGGATGAGGAGGACGGAGGAAATATGTGTGTGGTGGGTGGGGGGGGGGGGGAGTGAGGTAGGGAAGGAGGGAGGTTAGGGAAAGGGGAGGTAAAAAGAGGGAGAGTAAGGTGTAGCACTATGCTCACTGCCCTCCGCGTCGTTCTCTGACCTTCTCTTCCCGCAGACGGCCGCAGAGAGGGTGATAGGACTAACACCTATAGCAGTGGCAGTAACGACGAGAATGAAGCGGTCTGGGAGCTGTGAAGGGGAAGATATTCAATGTCCGCTCGCTATTTTCGGAGCAAACAGGTTGAGGCGGAAATTGGAGACGACATAGGGGTCCGTGATGGATTGATGGAGAATGATATAAAAGAGACACCTAAGGAAAATGTTCAACCACATACCTGGCTATCGTGTATCTCGATCCGAGTATCTCCCTTGGAACGTCTTTGTGTGAGGGAAGATAGAGAGAGCTGAGGGGGGGTTTCCTTCTAAAGCTCGATTCTTTGAAGGAAAGAAAAAAATATATATAAATACTGTACGTATAATATGCCGATATCCTCCTCTCACCGGAAAATAAAAACCAAATGAATAAAAAAGAAAGGTAAGAAGGGAAAACAGGGCAGGATGAATAAAACGGAGACCGAAGGAAATGGGAAGGCAGAAGGATATATTGAACAGAAATGGTGATAAAAAAAAAAATAGATCTTCCGGGAATCCCTAAAGGAGTGGGTAGTGGGCTAGAATAAGAAACCACAATAATGAAGACCCTTCTCTTGCTTTGGTTTTTTCCTTTAGTTTTTAGTTTTTAGTTCTTTTTAGCTTTTTTTAGTTTTTTTTTTAATATTTTCTTGCTTTCTTTCCTTTTCTCTTTCGACGGAAGCTTGTATAATTTAGTACGGAAGCCTAACGCTGTGTATAGCGGTTGCAAGGGTGATGTGATGCAAAGCCAAACCGGTAACTAAGCCTGCCTCATCGCTTTCGTGCTTCTAAATGTTTTGCTGCTTTCGGATAACCCTTCTGAAGTCCGGAGAGAGGCAAAACGGATTGTCACTATTTCCACGGCTCCGCTGTGGGCCGACAGTTGGAAGTGAAATATAAAAATCAAAGGTGCACACTGGTGAGTGAGAGTGGAGTGTTATCCTGCGCTCTATAGCAGTGGTCGAGATGGGGGCAGAGGGGGGGGGGGGGGGTGGAACAGCGAAACGGAGGTCAAATTCCTGTGGAGATGGAGGAATTCAAATACCAGTAAATTGACCCATGGAGCTGGCATGGGGAGTGGAGGGGAGAAAGCAATTAAGAAGAACCCCGTGTCGATTTTTAGAAGTCAATATATGAGTTTCATTGAGCCGCCCTCCTCCGCTATTCTTGACGTGATGGACCAGTTAGATCTTTACGGTATCGAGTAGCGGAGCCTGTGCTGCTGCGTACTGTACTGTGAGAACGGTGGTAAAGGCTGGATCCGTTTGGGTATTAAATTCCACAAGGAACTTCCAGGGTATAGCAGCAGGCCCGGGGAGCAGGTATGTACAGTGCTGTGGAGCAGCTCGCCGGTGCCTTTATTCCGGGGTCTACCTGCTGTAGGCACAGTGCGGTACATACGGTACATTGAGTGTGGTGATTGATCTCCATCCATCCCTCCGCCCTTCCAGCCCTCCCACCACCCACTTCATTCCCTCCCCTCTTCCCCCCCACGCATCTCCGGGGCCACTGGAAAAATAAAATAAAAATCATGGGGGAACGTCAGTATCGCACGAGCTCTATCTAAGAGAAACGGTGTGGAGACGGGAAATGGTCTGTCGAAACCCGGGACGGACTACCACTAACGCCAGATTTGCTCACGCCTTGACACTTCATCCCGCCTATGCTAAATTATTGGCGGCTTCGCTTCAGCGGGGATCCTTGATCCAATTGTCTCTTCTTCTCCTACTAGTCTATGTCCGGTGGTCCTCCTGAGAAGCATTGGCATTGGACCTACAGTACCGCACTCGCGCAGGACCACACGCACACACACACACACGAGTGAGATCTCGCCCTCCCCACCCGTCCGTTCCTCTCCCTTCTGGCCACTGTCGTGCTGCTTCTTTTGATGTCTTGATCCTTTGATCACCATGTCTCACCATCCCTCGTGGCGGTCAAGTAGGAGCGATCGACATGAGAGACAAGTGCAAGTGCTCGTACAAATGGAGCCGAGGATTGCAATATCGTGGAATAGCGAGAGCAGCAATGGTCTCACTTTTAACCACATACAATACCGTGCCGGCCTTTCTACCTAGAAGCTCCACTACTCATAGCAGTGCGAGTCCTGTACTCCCCACCTCCATTCCCTTTCCCAATTCCTAACCTACGAGTACTCCCTCCCTCCTTCCCCACTCCGCTCCCCTCCCCCCTTTCTTGGAATATTTCTCTACCATTCCCGGATGGTGTCAATCAGTGACTGTTGCCTGCCCACTCACCCTCACCACTGCACACCCACATGTAGGAGTACATACATACAGGGCGTACATCACCGGCATCGTCTGTTCGTTCATTTATTTTCTATTTATTCAGCTATATTCGCCCATGTATGGATATTTCGTGGGGCGAGCAAGAAGGAAAAAGGGTCAACGAAGATTTGTCAGGCCCCTTCCCCCCCACCCCCAAATAATAACAAAAAAATAAAAATGTTAATAATGAGGATGATGATGATAATGATGATAATAACAATAATAATAATAATAAATAACCCTCCCGGTATGATAACCATTCCAGTAACCCTTACGCTTGCCCTAAGCTCATTTTCCCGGCGAAAGAAATCTACTTACCCTCGAGCGCTTTCCCTGATGTATTATAGTAATAATAATAATAATATTTCTTCCATGGACCTTGCTTCTCCCATTCCCCCCCCCCCTGCCGAAAGCCACCCTGGTGGGTGGGTTGCCACTACCGAAAGGGGTATATATTTTACTAGCAGTGGGTTGCTCGTATCATGGGATAATATCATACCGAACCCGAGGGGTAGAAATGGGAATAAATAAATAAATAAAAAAAGAATAAAGTGAACGGGGTGCCTCGCCATAAGGAAGCATCTCCAATTCGGACGGATAGGTGTTTTGTATGATGCGGTGTCGTCTTTTTTTAAGAAATGTAAATAAAGATCAACTCTTCAATTGTTTAATAAGGATATTGTACTATCATAGTACTGTACATACTATATCTCCTAACACGGGGGAGGGGGGCGGGGGGGGGGAGTGGTTTATAACAGCATGAAAGTGAAGAATGGATGGACGTCAGTATCATACCAAAACCCAAAGAAACAAAATAAAACAAAACAAAAACGATACGATACGGCAGTCCAGGTTGTTCCAACCATCGTCACATCGTAGCCTACCGTTTTTCACAACCCCGGCATATATCCCGCGTCTATGATGGATAGGTAGTCTAGATGCCTGGGTCTTACCGGTTACTCTACTGTACTGTACAGTGCTCGTACAACACAACACAATACAAGTATAATAAGTAACCATGAGAAAAATGTGAAAAAAGGATAAATGAAACAGAACAAAAACGCTTTGTAATACAAGAGGGAGGGAAGGAAGAGGAGTGAAGGAAATGTGAATGAAAATTAATCGATCCATGCCCTCCCCTGCAAGGACCAGCTTTCTGGAGTCTTTGTTTACCGGTATTTTCTCTTTTTTTTTTTTCATTCTTTCCCCCATCCCACACACTTTTCGAGCTCTATGGTACTGTACTGTACTCCAGTACTCTACTTGTATTAATAATTGTCGTGGGGAAAGAAAAGAAAAGAAAAAAAATCCGGTTAGTTCACTTTCCAATATTATTTTCCTCTTTTTTATTTTTATTTTTAAATCGTGCTTTTGAATGAGTGAGTGAATGAATGAATCGGGGGTGGAAATGGATGTTACGTACAGTACAGTACAGTACGGTACGTCACCACTCGTGTATCCGTAGTACCATACCATCCATCATTTTGGTCCGTTCCCTGGCTTCGTAACTCGGTTGTTTGGGAGGAAGTATTGTTT